TGCATGGCCGGTGGTGTGCTTCAAGAAGGAAGTGTGGTAAGCATTTATGTCCAATAGTTGATTTGACACAATCCCATCACACCTTATCATGTAATCCCCTAGCACACTCAACTAGCCAATTTTGGCTCTAATTTTTCTATGCATGGCCGGCCAAAGTGGAGAAGGAGAGAGAGAAAAATAAATCCTACCCCTTGTACTTTAGTCCACTCTCTTAAGTTACCTTTGAATCAGGTAAAAATCATACTGACTGTAAAGGGTACTTAGCTGACAGGAAATTCTTGTTTCTGACAGTTCTTTTTTTTTTTTCTACTACTTATTTACAGTTCAACTTTTAAATCCTCGTCTGCTTTAATATCACGTTAAATTCTTACTCGCGTAATATCTTAAACTGTTTCAAGTCTTGAAATTAATTCTAGACTGAATAAATTCTAAATTTAACTTTTCTGCATTAAATCTCGGGAATGACGCTGTTTCTGACGGTGTCAAATCCCGAGCTCACATTGTACCCTTCTACTATGGGTATTTATCTTCTGACTTTAACCTAGCTGTCTGGCAATTAAGGATTTTCTCTTCTTTTAAAATGTTAGTGCATTTTTTTTATACGCTGCTAACATCATGCTGTGTTTGGAGATTCTTGAAATTAAGATTCTCAAACTATACTTGTACTGAAAATTATTCCGCCTTAAAGTACGACAAGAATTTATCGATCGAATTTACTTGATCGAAAACATGAACTTAACAAGAAATCTGCTACAGAATTTAGGAATACATATATTAATTCCATAAATCCTTCAGTCACGTAATATTTGTCTAAGAAAATCCTTGACTTAAATACATAAATTGTATTATTTAAGGTCTGGGATTTTCTCAGTCATTACAACAACTGCCTTCAGTAACTGTCACAAAGCCTGGTTTAATCCATGAAAAACAAATGGAAAGAAATAAGATTGCCTCAATGCACTGCGCCCGAACAGAAAAATCACCCATCTACAATGCAAGAAAAACAAGCAAAATAAATTTTTACGGGTATTATAATATTTCGTCCATTGCCCAATTAATTAAGGGGAAAAGCATGATCTAGAAGTAAAAGATAAAATGAAAGCATAATTTTCTTCGTTACTTGATGCTCACTACCAAATAATACAAAAATATTACAAATGAAACTTCAATTACTTCTACAAGATAGATTTTCATATGGAAGAAGTGATGATTCAAGAAATTAACATGACGTTGAATAACTTGTTATAAAAAAAAAAAAAAGGCAAAAAAAGAACCGGATTCACTTCAAATTTTAACTCCAACAAATTCAACTGGCTTCAGTAACTGTCACAAAGTCTGATTTAATCCATGAAAAACGAATGGAAAGAAATGCGATTGCCTCAATGCATCGCGTCCCAACAGAACAATCATCTACCTACAACGCAAGAAAAAGAAACAGAATAAAAATTTACAAAAAGGATATTATAACATTCCGTCCAATGCCAATTAATTAAGCGGAAAAACATGATCTAGAAGTACAAGATAGAATAGAAGTATTATTTTCTTTGTCACTTGCTACTCGCTAGTAAATAGTACAAAGGTTTACAACTGAAACTTCTAATGCGCATTGAATAAGATAGCAAAATGGCAAGTCTCCAAAGCGTGTGCTAATATGAGCAATCATCACAGGCCTAATTGAAAAAACAGCCAGAGTCAAATAAATAAAGACACAAAATAAATACACATTTCCCTCAAAAAATAAATAAATACACAAATAAATAAAACCAATAATTAAGGGGGTAGAAAGAATTATGGATGAAAGTGCTGGCTATATGGGAAAAATCAAGTTCATCTTCAATGTAAGGACAAAAAAAGAAAAAGAAAAATATAGAAGTAGAAAGAAGACTTAATAATGACCTCAAAGCACATCTCAGTTTGGCAGCCATCTCCAATATGACAATTACCTACGAGTCTTGATCCCCAAAGTGGTCAATAATTATTAGCAATAATGTAGAAAATATCATTTCAACCAAAATGGAGAAAAAACTATGTGTGTTAAAAGTTATTCGGTTCAAAAGAAATAAGTCATCTCACTGATGTATAAAGAATCCATAACAAAACAATATAATATCTTTGCCTTTCCCAGACCTGATTGCTCCCTACAAATGTGTGACAAAACAATTCTCAATTAACCTGTTTATGTAGTCATTTTCGCCCCTCAACTTTCCTAGCCCTTATACATATTGCTGTCCAACTTCCCATTGATTTGCCAAAAATTAGTGCTCGGAGGTGATGAGTACGATGAGATTTTCAAAACAATTGATTAGAAAACATGACTCCAAAGTTATTATGAATAGGCATAAAACAAGAAAAAATACGTTCTAACAGAACCAAAATGCACGCATGTATGCAATTAAAAAGGGACGAATAAGTGAGGAAAACAATAAAAATCACTAGTCACCTCCTTTAAAAAAAAAAAAAGTTATGAAAATCATGTAACATTTTTGCTCCTGTCTACTTATAGAATAACTGGATTTTTTTTTTCACCACCTTGTTCTAGGGCGCATTAGTTTTCGCTCAACCATTCTGATATTCATCATACATCATCATTGCAATCTGAGCGAATACAACAAAGCATAGTATTATCTTACATGATTACGCTAGCATGAATACAAGTGACAAAATAAAAGAACCAAAGAGAAAACAAAAAGGAAATGAAAAACACTGTTCTAAAACCTAGATAAATAAGGTAATATACTGCCATGCAAAACTGCAATTACAATAATCTTAATCAGCTGGTCCTTTCATCTAGCATATCAAATTCCCAACAACTATCATTAATTTTCGGATTACACATTTGGCATCCAAATTTACAAAAATCAAGCCTTGTTAAAAATTGCAACGATGGAATTACAGGGTAGTCCCAACCAAATTTAGCCGCCCAAAATTAATTTACCATTCAGCTAGTAGTCAAGCATGTTAAAACCAATTTTCCTTTAACCATTCACTTCAACATAGAATTATATCTAGCTGACAACTGACAATAATTTAAAAAAAAAATACATAACCTGATAACCACTGAAGAACCATACACATTTAAAAAAAAAAGGAGCATAAAAAGGGCAAGTAATTCATCAAGATATATACTCAAATGGACCAATTCAAATTCCACTATTATCATAATCCAAACTTTTTAATAATTAAACAACATCCTCAATTTCAAAAAGCGAAACAGAAAATAAGAAAAAGCAAATACCTTCAAGATTCCAACCCTGGGTGCGGCAAGAGACGGAAAGCATGGAATTGAGCAATGCGCAGGCCGTCGCGGTGTGATAAGGAAGCATCGATTCTACGCAGCGACTCATCTCAACGGCCGACCGTCTTTTGCATAAAAAACAAACAGTCAAAAACAAAAAAAATTTGCATATATATATATACATATACACGTATTCGTTTGTGTTCTGCGTATGAAATGGGCGTATTACCTGAATGTTGGACGAGAGAGACGATTCAGATTCTCTCTGGGGATACGGAACGGTGAAGACGGTGGTTTGGATCTGGCGGCGGCTGAGATTCGGGAGCCCAAGGAGGTTCTGCCGGCGGCAGATCGGAGGACGGACCTAGCAGCGGCGAAGGTCGACATTTTTTCTTTGATGTTTTGGGGTTTTAGGATTTTTTTTTTTTTGAAGGTGGGGTTTTAGGATTCTGGGGTGGGTTTTAAAAGGGGCTTTGCATATTTTTTTGGGCCTGGGTTTTGAGAGCGCCGATTTGTGTCCTGGTATGTGATCTTACGTGGGCTTATGTGTGGGGAAACCAACTCCAGCTTATTATTTCTTATTCTTGGCACGTTAATTAAAAAGGAGAAAGAGGAAAATAGGTCAACACTTGAGATAAATTAAAATTAATAGGTTAATAGTTTATATAAGTTAATAAATAGGTTAAATTACTGTTTTTATCCATAACTTGTCTGGTTATGAACCATAAGTTGACAAGTTATTGTCCATAATTCACGATTTTTATCCATAACTTATCTGGTTATGAACCATAACTTGCTAAGTTTGTCCATAATTTTTCTAGTTATGAACCATAACTTGACAAGTTATGACTTATTAATTTCTATAACTAAAAATTAGCCTATATATTTTTTTAAGCTTTTCATATTGACATATTTTCTACTATTTTCCTAATTAAAATATCATGTTAAATGAAAAATTCTTATGGCATTAATTAAAAACATGACTAACTTGTCATTATTAGGAAGACACGAAAAGAAAAAAGGGGCATAGGAACCCATTCTGTGTGGGGAAGTTGACTTTTAATACATGGTTATCTTTAGTAATAATTTCCATTTAATTGTATTCACTTTAAAATGTAGAGATCCATAAGTTAGGGTATTTTGTCTATTTTGTGATCGTAATTTATCTTTATATGAAGTATGTTTCTTATAGGGCCGATAATATGGGTCACGATACGATGACACGACTCAAAAACGACACGAATTTTACGGGTTATGGTTGAGAAAAAAGATGTTCGGGTCAGAATTGGGTCGACTTGAAATTGACACAAAAAATATGAGTCAATTTTGGGTTGGACTCGCCTAACCCGAACATGACACGAAACTCGTAAAAAACTAAAAAATACATATATTTTTCATTACATATTTTAAATTTTATTATGAACTTGTGATATTATGATAGTTATACTCAAAATCTTATACTATTATTTGCTTAATTTCAATGGATGTTATTGTAATTTAGTGTGTTATGAATTTTAAGTTATTTCTAATATGTAAAAAATTAAATAAAAGTATACAATTTTCGTGTCAATTTCGGATTCACGGGTCAATTTCGTGTCACGGGTCATTTTCGGGTCGTGTCGTGTCAACTCGTAAAGTGGTCGTGTCGTGTTCGTGTCGCGATTTTTAAAAAAATTTCGTGTCACGGGTCGTGTTCGGGTTGACTGTAAATTTTTAAAAAACGATTAAAATACTACACAAACATGACACGTGATACGAATTGCCACCCCTAATTTCTTAGGATTGTTTTGGGGTGAAAATTTAATAAATATCCCTGAATTATGATCTTTCTGTTAATTTGATAACTAATTAATTTGATAACTAAAGGGATACTAACTGTAATTTTATAAATGACGATGTCCGTTTTTCTAATTTTTGTCTTTTTTTCCCCTCTTCATTAGCATTTTGGTATATTAGTTAAAGCTGAACGACTTGGAGAAATTAATTTGCATACTTAAAATACATTGGTAGACAATTGATGAAGTCCAAAATTGATTACATGATTAATGTAAAGGAAATGATATAACTTTCTCTCATATATTAGTTAATAGGATACTAGAGAAACACAATACTTTTCGATTAGAACTGTAAGTTTGGGCCGGGACATTCTAATAAGATCTCGACAGGTTCAAGAACAATGCTAAGAAAAAGATTGAGAAAGATGAAAATCAGCTTGAGTTCTTTATTAACGGTTGCAAAATGTACACCGATATGCGGATCTTCGATGGTCCGCTGCCTCCCCTTACTTGGAATGGTTCCAAGATTTTTCCAAAAAACAGATAACAGAATGATTTTCTTCCCTCCTCTGTTTTCCCTCCCTTTTTATACCTTCTCTTATTCACTTCCCTACTCACAATCTTGCTTAGCAAGCTACTAATACTAACAATCTTTCTTAGTAAGCCACTAACAATCTTCCTAAACAAGCTTTCCAAGTCCTTTTATTCTTCCTCATCAATCACCTAACTAACTAACTTCTAGGAGCCTATCATTACCGCTCGCCCGAAAGATACCTTGTCCTCAAGGTGTCAGTCAAGAAATCATAGCCGAATGACTCCACCTTCTTTCCATTTTGATGAGCTCGGATCTTAAATCGTCAAATGCAGCAGCGAATCCAAGAGAGCCAAAATAAACAGTGAAGAATTCGAAAGCAGTGAGCATTGGCACAATAAGGTCAATTTGAAGACCCAGTACATATCTTGCTGAATTGGTCCCAATTTCACTAGCACTTTGAGGCGCAACTCCCATTACACCTGAATTAGGCCAAACCAAGCCCAATGTGATTACCCACACTAGAATCGCAAGACCCAGCTAAATCTGGGTCTAATTCTTTGATCCGACGAGCCCCAGATGGGCTTAGATCGGGGCTGGCTTCCCGCTTCGAATCACGCAGCCAGACAAACCACCCTCTTTGCCTTTCCACGTCTGTCGGCGCCTCGTCCACCGGTTCTCCTCCGCGCGGCCTCTGGTCGAAGTTCCGCTCCAACCCATCGCCAATCAGCACTCCACTGCACCGCTCCCCGCCGATCTGACCTCCAGGTTGTGGATCCAAAAGATTCTGGACTAATCGTAACTTCTGCCAACCCTAAGCACCACCCAGGCCAAATCCGGCGTCGATCAGCCCTCTCCGTTGCATATATGGGCTTCCCAAGCCGCAACCGATGCCGATTTGCTAGCCTCATCGCAGATTGGGTCGATTCTGATCGAGATCGACCCCTCCACTGCGCGAGTTCTCCTCGCGTTCAGCCACCTTCCCCTACGGCAGTCTGATCTGCCCTTCCTTGTGCGGTTCCACACGATCCTGGCCAACATCTCCAAGTCCGAAAACCCTAGCCTTTTCTCTGGCAAGATCCGCCTCCTTCCCCGGCCTCCGATCATCATCCGCCCTCAGATTGGTGTCGATTGACTCAGATCTGAGCGATATCACACCCGATCGTGAAAAATTGCTCGAATCATTGTCATCCTCCCGCAATTCCAGAACTGGTTGCGTCGGCCCACTTAGATCTAATCCCAGATTGTCACACAGACCAGTTCGCAGCTCATATGGCGTTGATCGTTAGCGGTGTTCATCGGGTTCTAATCGCGTTTCCTCTAGCGTCGCTCGTCGGATTCGGTCTCCCAGATTTGGTCGCGAACCTCTAAAAACCCTAAGATTGGAAACTCTAGGATTTGAAAACCTAGATTTCGACTCCAAATCGTAATTCATCTTGCAATCTGATAGCTTTTGACGTCGATCTGCTGCTATGGTCGACGCCCCCGCCACTCTAAATCTCTCCTCCATCCTCTTTAGAAGTTGTTCCAGCTTTTGAACCATGGCTTCAACCTTCACAATAGAACAGTTTCCCTTTACTGGTTGGAAACATTGAAACAAATGCGTCTGAAAAGCACTCCAACAAACGAATGGCCGCCTTCTATCCTCCCATTGAAACCACTGAAGAGCTTTACCTTCCATGAATTCCCCAATGAACATCACTTTTTCTTGCTCTGAAAATCAATTTTTCAAGAAATATTCTTCTACTCTTGCTATCCACACATCCGGATCTTCTCCAGAAAACATTGACTTCTCTAATTGCTGCCAATGTCCATATGTTCCCTCCATCTTCTCTGAATTTCGGCCAAGAAAGTGCTCTGATACCAATTTGATAAGATCTCGACAGGTCCAAGAACAATGCTAAGAAAAAGATTGAGAAAGATGAAAATCAACTTGAGTTTTTTATTAACGGTTGCAAAATGTACACCGATATGCGGATCTTTGAGGGTCCATTGCCTCCCCTTACTTGAAATGGTTCCAAGATTTTTCCAGAAAACAGATAACAAAATGATTTCCTTCCCTCCTCTGTTTTCCCTCCCTTTTTATACCTTCTCTTATTCACTTCCCTACTCACAATCTTTCTTAGCAAGCTACTAATACTAACAATCTTTCTTAGTAAGCCACTAACAATCTTCCTAAACAAGCTTTCCAAGTCCTTTTATTCTTCCTAATCAATCACCTAACTAACTAACTTCTAGGAGCCTATCACATTCCGAGTCAGGCTAGGCCTAAGTTCTAGGCTTGAAAGTATTTTCAGACTCGCCCAATTCAGCCTGAAGTCCTTAGCCCGACGGCCCAAATGTGCAGCTTTTACACTGAACCAAATCACCAAGCCTAAGTATTCTTCAAAAGAAAGGCTTAGACTAAAGTTTTAAGCTTCACTATTAAGAAGTATTCAACTATCTTAATAACATCCTCGTTTCACTATTCAGTAAAAATATTTCCGCATAGTTGAAGAATTGTTGAAGTTTTAAATAGAATATCCAAGCAATTTGGAAAAATAATGTCAATTATAATGAGATCTGCACAAGTTACAATTAAAGTACAAAATGAAGAACAGAAAGGAAAAATTGATACATGGTATGGAATGGAAGCTTCTTATTCCTTTCCTGTGCCAGCCTTCAAAGTGCAATTAACAAGCAAGAATTACCTCCTTGGCTTGCTCTTGTTTCTGCTTGTCTTCATCAAAGCACAAACCAATAGTGGTATGCATATCCCTCGGCACATATAGACACCATCTCTCCTTGAGACATCAGATTGTGAGCCTGTTCTTGATATTCTGCCATGTTCGTTGAAGTGGATCGAATCTGGGAAGTACAAGCGTCCTCCGTCGCCCGGTTTAATCCCGATTAGGCGGCCCAGTGACACGCTGTGGTCTTGGAAGAAGGATGCTGTGGACTGTGGGTGATTGAGTCAAAGAGATCTATAATGTTTTAGCTCAAGGGTGTGTTTTGGAAGCATGTTATAGTGGAGTAAAAATTGTAATCACTAATGATGTAGACGATGGTGTAATATGACATAGAGTTTAGCTCAAGGGTGTGTTTTGGAAGCATGTTATAGTGGAGTAAAAATTGTA